CCCTCGATAAATAGTGGGAGAGTATATGGCAAGCTGTCAAGCTACAATGACAACCTTACCAAGTGAATTTATCATACTGCTCCTCTCCTTAGATGAACTTCTGTCAATTATGATCATATAAATAACACATGCTTAACATATGTAGCATGTTCATGACAACATATACTCTTTCAAAGTAATTTACCCAATCATTATTACATCTCATATCATTCATTCCATAATTATTCATAATCATCATCATGATTTTAATACATATAACTACAATTTCTTAGCCAATAACACATAAATCAATATCATGGTGCCATACTTGTACTGAAAACACTTTCACAATCATTTCATATATCTCAAAACAAGTTTATAAACATCTATAATCAATTAAAAAAAAAGTGCATAAAGTAGATTTTTCCAAGTTACTTAAAACCTTTAAAAGATCATAGGTTTACCTTTCAAGCACAAGTAATTCCAAAGCTTAAACAGTGTAAAAGATGATTAATCTACAATTAATCATACCAACATCCATTAATATTATTAATAACACAATTTCAATTCTATCTTAACATTTTAAACACCCAAAATTCCAAATTCTTAAATAATACTTGTTACAACTCCTAACAATTTCAATTCTATCTTAACATATACCTAGGGTTTGTTTAAACTTGAGCACCCATTCATATGACTTCAAATAAATGTTAACCTTTGGTTTAGAAACTTAAAACAACTCCCACTAGTCTTATTGAAACTCATGGGTTCAATTACTAGCCTCCCATAGATGAATCTTCAACCTCCATCCCAAAACAAATAAAAAAATTCATATAAAGGAAGGCTACCTTAGTGATTTCTAGCCTAGAAAAGCCTCAAATAGTCATCCACAATGAAAACCTAGTAGAGCACTTCATCTTCGTTTATTTCACCCCGTTTTCTTTATATTTTTAAAGTGATTGAGCTCGTCTATTTTAAGTCTGATTCGAGCTATCAACCGCAGCACATGATGTGTTTGTCGTGGCAGATAGTACATAGACATTGGGCTTGAATTTCACTCTTCCAATTAGGCCCAAGTGTCCCAAAACCCTTCCGTTCCTGATCTAATAACTATCAACATACCCAACGAGCCCATTCGTCTCTAACCATCCTCAAATTAATTTATTCATAAATTTACTTAATTACCCTTTATTAACTCATGCAACCCAAAATTTAAATTTCAAGTTGTTACACTTAATACCTAGTAATTTTTTACAATTTCTCTAGCTTACATGGCGTTAATGCGTGGGGTCCATCTGACATATGGTTGGCTAATGGCCAAACTAACAACCAAAATCTAATCTATGAACACAAGGCAAAGTTGTATCATTTTTTAAAAACATTGGGGCAATATTGTACCATTACATCTTTTAGGATATCAATTGTGCCTTCAAAAAAACTCTAGGGGAAGATTTGTACTTTAACACTAATATATTTGGCCTTATAAAATCAAGAAACATAATTGGCTTAATGGTTGTTATACTCCTGGTATACCAAGAGGTCTTGTATTCAAACCTCCCCTTGGACACCTTAAAATATTTAACTTTTGGTGGCCAATGTCTAAGCTCTAATGACTATTGCTGGTGGTCTGGTCTTGATTTTTGAAAATTCTTTAGTCATGATTTGATATAATGTCTTATTAGTGGTCCTATAATGAAATCTTCCAAAAGTTTTACTACAGACAAGGATTTTGTTCGAGACAAAAGCTTGTATCACTTTCCACCTAGACCTTTTTTAAGATTTTTGTTCTTTAGCTTTTTTACTAGTCTCTTCATTTCAAATATAAGATACATTTAGACAAAATTAAATATACCAAGAAATCACAATAAATACACTTTACAACTTTATTTTTCTAAGACAAAAACATAAACTTACAAAAATGCCTTTAATTTAATACTCAATTTGAAAGAATATTAAAGAGGAAGAATATAAAAGGAAGGGTAATATTAAAAAAGTATTATTAATTAAAAATATTTTTTTATTAAAATATCTTATATTTTGAAAAAGGTTAAAAATTTCTTAAAAGTATTTTATAATTTGAGATAGAGTAAATATTTTGTTTTTATCTCGAGAATACTTTGTTTGCTTCTTTTGCTAGGGGCTACTATTTCTAATGAATGGATGCTAAATGATCTTTTAGGACAGGGTATGCTCAAAAGTGCTTTAGTACCAATTGTCATGATTTTATGGCTTGGTTTTGATGTAAGAAAAAGTTAAAAGAAAATATAAAGAAGAGAAAATTAGGAGCAAAATTTTTTCAAAAATAGTAATATTTTTTTTTTTTACTATTTTTTGAAGTTCCCCTTAGTTTCTCTCTCTATTTTTCTCCTCATCCAAGCTAATGGCATTTGTGGCTACTTTTTTCAGGCTCAGCAAAATTTTAGCTGTGGTACTTTCATTTTATTCTAAGGTATTCAGCTCTTTTCTGTATATAAATGTAGTCTTAGGCAAATATAAATTCTTTTTCTCATGGTTGCTTCCCTATTTGTTTTAATCATGACATTGTGTATGGGATGAATGCTTGAAGATTTTTTTTTTTTTGGGCTGATGAATGAATAGGAACTATCAATAGAGAAAGTAGGGAAAGGTAATGACACAATAGCTATTGCATAAGCAAGTTGTAGGGAGTGAGATCTAAGCTTGAGGGACTTTGAGTGATAAATAAATTTGTCAATTCCTTAAATCTGTAATGTTTAAAATATATTTAGACGATCAATTTATAAAAATTATAAAAAAAAATTAATATTAAATTAAATCATTCAAATTAAATCTACTCTATTCATCAAGTTAGTGATGAATAGATTTATTAAAATTTTTATAAATTTTTATTTTAATAAATATAAAATCAAAACAATTAAAACAATTTAATTATGAACCAACCAGGTTAAATTTGGACGGTCTAAACTTTTACCTCATTTCAGAAAAAGTGCAGAGAAGGAAGGACTCAACAGAGAGAAACCGAGTCTAGCTGCAATAGTAGGAGTGAGAAAATAGTTGAATGAGACGTTAATCGAGTAAAAATATGGAAGGTAAATAAATTGTTGATTTATGTTTAAACCAGTCAACAAATGAATTTATTTCAAGTTTGGCAATTGAAATTTGAAATTAATCCAGATATAAAAGCAAAATCGGTTGGGTCTTTTAAAATATTTTTCGCCTTGTTTTACAACAGGTTATCCCGCCATATATCTTAATAAAACTATCGATAAGCAATAAAATCAGAGAATAGAAATACAAAAAAAAACAGAGACAATTAAATGAATATAATGACATTAAAATAAATATAAAGGCCTAAATGTGAAAGACGTGTCATGAATATGCATTACTATTGTAAGTTTGAATAGCTTTTATTCATTGCCATTTGTATGATAAAATAATGGAAAAATTATAATTAGGCACCTCATAAGAACATTAATTATATTTACAGACTCTAAATTATTGAAGTCTCAATAATAAACTATGATCCTTATTTGCAATTAAAAAAATATTAATAATTAATTAAAAAATTTATTAAATACACTTGAAATTATTTATAAAATTAATTAAAAATTTATAAGAGTCTGTTGTAAATCTTAATTTTTTAAAAAACACTTAAGAAATCAAATAAATATATTCAAAATTATTTGTAATGTTAATTAAAAATTTATGAGTTAGTAAAAAATCACAAATCAATTACTTATGATTTTTTTGCTGTTAATATATATAAGAAATCACTTAAAAACCTATTGAATATAATTAAAATTATTTGTAATATCATTTACAAATTTATGAAAATTAATTGTGTAGCACAAACCAATCACTTATAACTTTTTACTATGCTTAGGAGATTAATAAAAAAAATATTGAAAATTATTGCAATGTTGTATAAAATTTTTTTTAAATTTAGTTATCAATCTCAAACCAATAAACAAAAAAATATTTATTATAAATAAAAATTATAATCTGTCATTAAAATTTCAATAAGGTCCCCAATTGTTTTTCTCCCAATAATAATTTGCAATCTACTTCACTATACAAATATTTAAAATAAAAATCATCTTAATTATTACAACACTTTATTTTAATGTTGAATATAGAGAATACGATTTTAGAGTCACGAGACAATAAGAATAAACGATGAATAGATTACCCAAAATTTAAAAAAAAAAAAAAGAATAAACGATGAATAAAACTTCGTTTATTGTTTTTCAACAATGAACAAAAGATTCAAATCTTGAACAAAATAACGCTACTTATTCTGGGGGGAAATACTTTTTTAAAAAACTAATTTTGTAAATAATTTCCACGAGCTTAAATCAAATAAAAAGACCCACGTGTATATCCGCGCGCATGCGCGGGTTACACATACAGATGTACTTACCAAAATGGGTCCATCCACAGGCTCTAATCCACTCATTTCCCTCTTCAGCAATGCAGCCAAAATAAGATGATTAGGGTTTAATCAAAACTATCAAAAGTAAATCTGTATGACCAATTTATAAAAATTGTACAAAAAATACTCTTAAATTTACACCAACTTGATTAAATATGAACTGTACATATTGGTAATTAATAGATTTATTAAATTTTGTAAATTTTATTTTATTTTATAAAAAAAGGGAAGTAAATCAGGAGCACCGAATGTGCTCCCCCTTACTCACAGGCAGGTATCTGGAATTTCTGTATCGTGTGCAGAATTAACAGAAAACTCAGCAAACATCCACTTCATAGCAACAAATGCTGAGTCAAGTTTCATGACATTACTAAGAACTCTTGACAGAAAAATCCAATTGCTTTTGCATGTGAAGCATTGAAATATGCACCAGTAGCAAAACCACAATCAAACTAGTATTCACTTAGCAATGGAGAGAGAGACGTCATACACACACACACACGAGCTTTCATTTGAGCCTGAATACAACTTAAATGTATCCACTGAAAGTCGAGGTAGCTTGAGCTTCAGATTTTTAGTAGCATGTTCTGAGAGGGCATGTGGATCTGTATTTTCAAGCAAAACTGCGTATTGGATATATCAAGGAATTAAACTAAGCAACGTTTGTTTATCCAGCATGACATGCCACCAAGGTCAGTAATAAAAAGAGGCTACAGAGAGATGAGATCATCTGAAGAACAACCTAAATTTACATTTTAAGGCGTAAATTTAAATAACCTGCTAATAGAGAGAAATCCAATTAGCATGGTTCTTTTCCAGCTTTAGAAGAAAGCACATAACCCAAAATTGAAACAAAGGGACAAGTTTTTCAGCAGAGATAATCAAAATCTCACTTGGCACCCAAGGTTGGGAACTGCCCAGGATCTTCAATCAATGGCGCTTGCACATTGTGGTTCACACTGCCACCATAACCTCCTCTTGAACCACGTCCACGGCCCCGACCACGGCCACCTGGGTTGAAGTATCTTTCTCCTTCAGCAGGCTTCAGAAACTCATTAATGCTGACAGACTGGGAACAAGCAAGACATGCAACATGATATTAGTTAGAACATAAGTTGTTCAGGAGGGGGGGTAAAACCATTTAACAATGCTAAATATATTTTCTTGTCATAAATCAAATGACAGATCAAAATTACAGATCACCACAAGAAAAAGTAAACAGCAACCCAGCCAAGCAAGAGTGACAATAGAACCAAAGAGCATAAATTATCAAATCAAAGCACATTCATTCTCAGTTCAGGAAGAAATGCAGGGTAACAGCTGAATGCCACAAGGACTTTAAACAGGAAGCCATGTCCATAAAGTAGCAAATTCAAGTAACTGCAAAATAAATTCAACCAACTCGGAGCATCCTACAATTTAATTAAAAGATTTCTAAGGATATAATCAAAATTTCAAACCATTTAAAAATAATAGGCAAAACATCTCTACAAAAAAAAAATCAAAATAAACCAAAATAACAAAAACTTAGATTTAGATAAATTGTTTAACAACCCCATCCCACCTAGTGGACAAGGCTGCTTGTTATTGTTGTTTGACAACTCCATCACTTGCTATCTAAAACTAAACTCCATTTTTTGTGATGGACATTAACACAAGATGCGGAGACAAGCTTGAGAAAATTTAATTCATACATGGAAGAGAAGATATAAAATAGTATTGAGCTCAAAAATGTTCATGTAAATTACACTAATTTCCTTCATTTATGCTTAAAATTACAAGGACCTCCTCTATTATAGATCATACATGCTCCTTCACTAAAACCAATAGTTCAGTGACATGTTGGTCCGTTTAAACATTTTACAGAAATACTCTATATTAACCTAAATACATTATTTAACCCTCAATTGGCCAACAAACATTCGGAAGTGTAATTGCCAATGAACATGTATATTATATGTAGAAAGGGTAACGGGAGGGAAGAGTATATTTTGAAAAAAGAGGGGAAACAATAAACAAATCAATCATGTGAGATGACATATGCTCATCTGAAAACATTAAAATGTCAATATTAGATCAAAGTAGACTATAGGCCATGTGCCCGCCTGGAGTCCAAGAGCTACACTGTTCATGGATTATAGATAGTGCAGCTTCATATAGATTCTATATTGATGATTCATGGACAATTGACAAGAGAATCTGTTTACCACTAATTACAGAAAATTTTCCTCAAGACCAACAACTCGATATTGAAGTTAACACAATGATTCTTCGAGATCAACAAACAGTAAAAATGTAACTGAGTAAAGATGACTACAGCCCAATTAGATATAGTATAATTAAATATTTAATGATATATTATACACTATATTACATTTATTTTATTAAAAAACAAAGTCAAACCTTCTTAGATTTCTCTTCCTTCTCAAAAGCCTCTCTACGCTTGTCCTTCTCAGATCCCTAAAAGGAGAAGAATATCAAGTGTCAAAACGTATCACGAGGCATTGCAAATCTACTATAAACAACTAGAAATTAGATCAGAGAACGGAGGCCAAAATGAGTTCACCAATTTAATAAAGACATCATCATTGTCTTTCTTGCTTGACAGCTGTTGCATGGATTCAAAATCTTTAGCGTCAACTTTTCTCTCCTCAGTCTTTAGTGCTTGTAAGGCCTTCCTTTTTTCTTCCAGCACTTTCTCATATTCCTCCAAGGTCATCTCCTACCAAATAAAACACTAGTTAACACGTGATGGATTATGAAAGGATTCTAAATCATACGAATGAACACCAAAAATAGCAGCAAGCTGCTTAATACTACAAAGCACAGTTCAAGGCATAACTCAATCTTGGACAAAATGTCCTTTTTGTTACAAAGGAATATAGAGTGAGAGGTTCTTCTTAACATAAAAATTCAAGAAGAATACAGCGTAACATTGCAAGTTATATTCAAAACATGTACCCGTACATGCTTGACCCCCTCCCACCATCCCCCCAAAAAAAAAACCAAATTGAGCTTATCAATTCAATACATACAGAAACTTTCCTTGAAAGTTAGTGTAATATACCTCTTTGACCACATATTCATCCATGCAAAATTTCTTGTCTTTGCACCAGCAAGACATGACATATCAAATATCTTCTGTTTGCCATGAATCTTGAAGGCAAACTTTGGGTGACAGAAAACCCATTGAATGAAATCAGACACTCACCTTATCCTCAGGCTCTTTTTCTTCAGCTCCATTAGCAGGACTCTCCTTGTTTTCATCTGCTACGTCTTCCTCAGCAGGTTTCTCATCACTCAAATTTTTCTCATTGTCATTCACAACTTCCTCAGTTGCCCTATGAAGATAACATTCAGAAATGAGAAAACAAAATAAATATAAATGAAAAACTCATGAAAATAGAAAATGCATATTTTAATTCATCTGCCTACAGCCTAGAATTATTAATAGGTGCAGGAAACTAAGAGATTGTAAAATGGAATGCTTACTGTGCAAGGTCATCAGTTGGAGTTCCCCAGTTACCACGCCCAGCACCTTCGCGCTTGAATTCATTTCTGCAATTAGAAAATGACACATCAATGTTGGTAGTCACAGAAATTTAAGAAATCAAAAGTTGAACAAAATGTGAACCCGCGTCCAGTGCCACTCCGGCGATCAAACATCCTTCGTGGGCGTCCCTCTTCACCAACTTCTCCGTTGCTAAATCCACCATGACGACCACCACGGGGAGATCCACGAGGTCCACCATAACCACGTCTTTCTAAAGGTTTCCCAGCTTCTCCTTCTACAACAGCACCTTGAACAGTAAGGCCTCCACTGCCACTGAACAAGTTCTCATCGTTGGAGAAATCTTGATTAAGTCCACTTCCTCCACGACCACGTCCATAGCCACGGCCACCTCCTCTTCCACCTCCACGGCTTCCACGAGATGCTTCATTCCTTGCCTCCCTCACTAAGTGAACATGTTAAGAATGTCAACATATGAAAAAATAATTATACAAGGGAATCAATAGAGAGCATTAATTAAAGTAAAAAGCATATACATGACATAAAAACATGTATTATTAAAAAAGAAAATTGAACTTTCAAGTAGTCAAATGATCTATGATGCCGGTGAAAAGTTCAACCCCATCACAAAAAAAAAACAAGAGTTTAGGGTATATATCACGTTTTCAAAACATGAGAGGCTAAGGAATCAGTAATAAAGAAAATAAAGAACATTCTTAAAACAAGTCGATATATGAATACAAGCGTCTGTAAACATAATCAGGAAAACTCACTATTACATAAAGTAATTTATAGAAACCCAATGCTAGGCACAAACTTGAACCTAAAAAACTAAAAAAACTGAGGATCTGCAGGATCTCCAAAACAACCAAAATCTCAAAAACCACATTTTCAAAAGGTCGAACAGATAGATTCCATTTGCATGATTTCAGAACGCCTAAACTCAAAACCACACATCTCTTCATAACATAAGAAACCTAGTAAACGTGACGCGCTCAACCAAATAGAATCTAATCAGAAACTCACCAGCCTGAGATGGGGGGGTTGGCTTCGAAGGCAACTGAGCCGGCTTGTTCTGCTGAGCAAGAGCACGAGGTCTCGGCTTGACATGGTCCTGACCAGGAGCTTTCTTGGGAGCAGACACAACCTTCTGCTGCTCAGCCGCGATTAGCTGTGACGGGTCCTCAGCGTCATCACCCAACAAATCAAAGGGGTTCAAGGTCGCCATTACAGAATACAACAATACAGAAATGAACCCACTTTCCAACAGCGTAATACCAAAGAGGAAGGGACCACTAAGCCCTATAAAAGTGAAAAATCCATGGGATGACGCATAGATTCAGAGATGAAGAAGAGCGAAACCGAAGAGAGTAGGGAAAAAACCCTAGCCGCAAGCAGAGGGGAGAGTGTCCAAGAGTGAAGAGTGAGCAAGTGACGACAACTTCATCTCAAATGAGAATTTATTTGGGTGTGGGTTCGCGAGCCTGGGCCGCGTTAGCCCTAACTTATTAGAAAATTAATTTTCCTTAATAATAATAATAACAAAGAAGTTAAAAAAAAATTAAAAATCGAAAGGTAAGCTTGAATGTGAAAACAAACGTCTCATTTGATACGGGAGAAAATGATTTTAATTGAAGTCGAGGTGAAAATGAAGTCTAAACTTTAAAGCATGTTTGGCGTATAGATCGAAGTAAGATACAAAAGTTATAAAAAATATAACTTTAAATCGTTATACTTTACTTACATTTTATTACATTCTTATACTTTTTTTAATATTTTTAGTCTTTATATTTTTATTTTTATTATTTTATGTTCCTCTATAAATAAAGTATAGAGACATTGAAGGAATTTAAAACAATGAAAAATAAAAGTACATGAACCAAAAACATCGAAACAAAGTATAAAAATCAATAGTAAAATGCGAGCAAAGTATAAAGATCTAAAGTTATATTTTTTCAAAACTTATCTAAAAAATATATTTACATTTTGAAATGGCCAATATGACCCATCAAATTAGAAGAGAAAAGTCTCCATCTCCCTCAAAGCCATCACTACATAGGCAATGAATTCCATGGAAAATCATATAACACCTAACAAATATGAACTTCTAGGAAGCAACAAATCCAAAACAACAATCAATTTCATCATTACAATCCAAATTCATTTAAGAGCATGAACCAAACTCCAAAAAAAATTACAAAGAAAAAGCATGAATTCAATTGTTCCTCATAGCAATTGCACATAAAAAATATCCAGAAATACATATCTGGAAAAAAAAACCCAATAGCAATCCACATTTTGTATTAGTGGGAATTTGAAACTCTCCTCCTCATTATTCCTCATCGCTTGATGCCTCACAAGATACTGAAAATCAACAAATGGAAATTGACGAGAAGATTCAACCATCATTTGAAGGAGTCATCTTCGTCCATTGTCATGGGGTTTCATCCTCATTCATCTGTCATTGAAGAGAGGGTTCAACCCAACATCTTTGTCGTCTATCGTGGGTTTCATCCTCACTGAAGTCATCATCGTCCATTGCTGTCATTGCCTTTTGGTTCATTGTCCTCTTCATCATTCCCCAGTGTCAATAATGAGGAGAGATGGGGATGGGCAAATTGGTCAGACTTGGAGCTTTTGATGGAAGTGGAACTAGGTTCCACAAAGAAGCTAGTATACCATACCAAACATGTGAAATGTGAGGTTCCACTTCCGCTTCTTTGACTCTAATTCATTTCTATCAAACGAGGCATAAGGTTGTTTCTCATTACAATAAATCATTAGGAAAAATCACCTTAGTTGAAAGAGTTTATTTACTAAAAAGGACTTAATACATTGTGATTTTACTCTTCAAGAACTAGGATAACATTGAAATAATTTTGCATGAGAAATGAAAAAAATACCCTTTCTTTTTTTTGAAAAAAACTCCACCCTCTTATAGCTACCAACTGCTAGATCACCACTACTAATTGACAAGGCCCCATCACTAGTGACAAGGCCATTATTGTCAACATCTATAGTTAGACTGCTATAAGTGATATTAAATTTTTAAGGTGAGTAAAAGGTTTGAGCTATTTGCCAACCCGCTAAAAAAGTAAAAGAAAAAAAATATATATATATAAATCATTTTTATGAATAAAGATCCATAAAAAAATATAAAATCTAAAAACTGCTAAATGATAACCATGTTTTATTATTGTAATTGAATATAAATAATTTTTTACATTTTATAAACTATTTTGAAAATAAATCTCTATTTTATAAAAAGAGAAAATTAATCTGCAATTCTTATAGCTTTCTTTAATTTTCAATTAGATTTTTATAATGTATTTTATTTCAATCAAATCCTTATTGTTTGATCCAATAAACATGTTAATCTCTAAAGGTTAAAATTATTAATGAATAATGAACTTTTTCAAATCAAAAACACTTTTGAAGTTATATAAAATTTGATTTGACACTTTTGACCGAAAAAGAAAAAATTATTTAATACAATGTTTATATTTTTATTAATTTTTTCATAAAAATTCTATATATATAAAAATTATTTAGAAGACATAACCTAATTATATATATTTTATGTGATAAAAATCATGTAATTAATTATAAAGTTTTACAATCTTTTAATAAACTTATAAAAGTTTCTTAATTTCATTTTTTAGTGAAAAATTTATGGATTTTAACCTTTAGAAATTAATAAATCTAATTGATCAAACTATTATGAGGCTAACGATCATTTTTGCCTCTCATAGTATTTGCTTAGGGTTTGCAGGTTTTTGACACTTGATTTTGGGTCAAAATGCCCCCTAGTGTTTTTAAACACATTCTTTTTTACCTTATTTTTAACACGCCAATCAACCATTTTTTTTGACAAAAAATACATGTGTGACATCCAAGTGGATGTCTAGTCAAACATTAATAATGCCACTTTTTGTCTTCGAAGTATTTACTTAGAGACACATGATATTTCAAAATTAAATTTAGGTTATTTTCACCTTTAAACTTTAAAAAACCTAACCACACATGTCTTGCTATTAATGTGCCATATATGAATGTCAATTTAACTTAGTAGGTCTCATGCATGTGTACAGATGGCTTCCAAGTGCATACCCAATCAAAAAAAAAATTCACTCAAATCACAATTAAAATTAAATTAAAAATATTCATCCATGTGTATACTTGGTAGCTTGACTTAGATTTTTAAAGAAAATATTCTCCATCTCTCAATCTTGACATCTTGCCTTCTTTGGATTGCCTCAATCATGAAACCTAACTCATATGTAGACAATCACTTGCCCTCTCTCTCAACAATAACAAGCCTTTGTTGTCAAGATTGAAGGTAAATTCTTGTAAAGTGTATATATGGAGGAATTTTTAAAAAATTTTGAGTTGGGCTACCAAGCAAACACATGAAAGTATTTTTTTTAGAGTAAAATACATTTACATCATCTCTATTTTATCTTAATTACTTAAATATCCCTTCTATTTTTAAAACCAATGCAAACCTCTATTAAAATTAATAATGACAAAACATAAGTCTCCTTTATATTTTTATTATTCCATTTTCATCTATTCAACTATTAGTTGACTATTAAGTCATGTATATTGGATCAAAATATCCTTATTTGAATATAAATGTTGTCCAAAATTCATTCAAGCTATCCAAAAAAATTAATGCATATATTTTTTGTTCATATTTAAAAATTTTTAGTTATGTAAACTCATTTATTTAGTAAATTTTAAGAAATTTAAATACATAAGTTGGATAAAATAATATTTCAAATTCTCATGTAAAAAAATAATGAAACAGGGATAAAATATAAGAAGAGATCAATTTTGTTAATCTTAATGCAATATTTTAAATTATTCATTTAAACATTACCATATTTAATTATTTAAAAATTTTTAAATTGGGGAAGATAGAATAGATAATTAGATTACAAGAGTAAATCAACATTTTTAAATATTCAATGAAATATTCTTAAAGAGGTTAAAAATTAGACTAAATTGTATATTTCCAAAAAAAAAGGGGGAGGATTTTTGTAATTTCAGCAAAATGGAAGGAATGTCACTTTATTTTACTCTATTTTTAATTTAATTTTTGACTATAATTTGAAAGAGGATTTTTTTTTATTTCTAATTGGGCATCTACTTGTGTGGCCCACATACACATATGCGAAACCCACTAACTTAAATTAATGCCAATTTGTGGTGTGTTAATAGGAGAACACATGTGGTTAGATTTTTTTCAACATTTAAAAGGGAAAAAACCTAAAATTGAGTTCAAAGCACCAAGTGTTTCTGAAAGAATACTTTGAAGGCAAAAATGACATTTAACTTACAAGGCATCTAACATGGATGTTACATGGACTTTGCATGCAAAAATTGCTGTAGGACTTGCATACCTATTTTGAATGGTTATAAGTAATGAGTTATTAAAATTATAGAGAATTGTAGTGATTGTGTGAATCTTAACCCTTATGTAGAAATATGTGATGGAATAAGTAACATGGGCTAAGACTTTATTGTGAATGTGAAAAGGTGTGATTTTGTTGTAAATTTGTGGTGAAAATGGCCAAATTGATTTGTTTATGTTAAGTTGTGAATAGTTGTCAAAAGTTTAGATGAGTTGTTGAATAGCCAAATCTTGATTTGTGTGTGTATATGATATAAATTGTGTTCAATCAAGTGTATAAGATCTTTTTAGACTTGGTTCAAGACCTATAATAGTCTAATAAGATAAGGTGAGTGATTTGAGTACTTGGGTGTGCTAAATTTTTTAAAAAAGTACCTTTTTGCACCTGAGTGTTCAAATTTTGATGATACTCATTTTCTAGCTATTCGGATAATTAATTCTCTAGAGAAGTTAATGGATATCTATATTCGAGAAGTTGTGAAGCTGCACGGAGTGCTGAAGAATATAGTTTCCGATCAAGATCTGAGGTTTACATCTAAGGTTTAGGGAACTTTGCAATGAGCTATGGGTACTGAGTTGAGATTCTTGTATGGCTTATCATCCTCAGATGCATGGGCAGATAAAGTGAACTATACAGACTTTAGAAGACATATTGAGAGCCTGTGTGTTAGAGTTGAAGGATGGATGGGACAACCATCTTCCTTTGGTTGAGTTTGCTTACAACAATAGTTACCACTTTAGTATTTAAATGGCACCATATAAGGCGTTGTATGAGAGAAAGTGTAAATCACCTTTATGTTAGACAGAGCTGAGTGAGAGGAGTATGTTGAGACCAGATATCGTGGATCAGATGACTTAGAAGATTAAGGTGATTAGGAAAAAATTTTAATGACTTAAAGTAGGCAGAAAAGAGTTACACTAATAGGTGTAAAAGGCCGTTAGAGTTTTTGTAGAAGATTATGTATTTCTAAGGGTTACACTAGTAATGAAAATTGGGAGATTGATTAGAGCTAAGAAGTT